ACCCTTAAACCCTTTAAAAACCCTAAACCCTACACCCTAAACCCCAAACCCTCGCTCCGCCGACGCCCCGCGCGCGCCTGGCGCTTTTGGGCGCCGTCCGCGCGCTCTTCGGCGTCCGGGCGCTCTTGGGGCTGCCCCTCAGCCCGGGTTTAGGGTTCAGGGTTTAGGGTTTAGGGTTCGGGGTTTAGGGTTTAGGGTTTAGGGTTTAGGGTTTAGGGTTTAGGATTTAGGGCAAAGGCAGTTCGGCTGTGCAGTGGGGCGTTTTGCTTGAAGTCTGGGGGGCACATCTGGTCAACGAGTCAAGTCTCTAAATTCAGTTCGGCTGTGCAGTGGGGCGTTTTACTTTCTCGAAGATAAATCATCTGACAGGGAGCACTAAGACTGAGTTGCTGCCAAGGAACGCAAGTGAAACTTACCAGATGGGAACTATACCTTGCTACTCTGCATCCCTTGCATCTCCATTGTGGTCACTTGAATTCAGGTCCACTCACTCCCTGAATCCCTAAGCCTTAAACCCTAAACCCTAAACTCCCGAGAAGGGGAGGGGGGGGGGGGGGTACCACCACTGAGAGACCATCACAAACATCCCGCATGGCCATATATAACCACGAACTGGAGAGCTCAGGTGCCCGGCTCAGCGGTGTTGGAATGAAACGAGTCCTGATCGGAGTTTGGGGTTTGGGGTTTAGGGTTTAGGGTTTAGGGTTTAGGGTTTAGGGTTTAGGGTTTAGGGTTTAGGGTTTAGGGTTTAGGGTTTAGGGTTTAGGGTTTAGGGTTTAGGGCACTACAACGGTTGACAGAGCCACGACGAGACCATACATGAGGCAACTGGAGGTATAGGAAATGACAGCCTTGAACACACGCTTCGACTCTTGACAGCGTCACCCTAAACCCTAAACCCCGAACCCTAAACCCTAAACCCTAAACCCTAAACCCTAAACCCTAAACCCTCCCGACTCCTTGAATAAGCGGAAGCTCTCCGCATTCCTCAGGTTCCAAAGGCCTCGCTGCACTTCGAGGTTCATGAAGGGTTTAGGGTTTAGGGTTTAAAGTTTAGGGGTTAGGGATTAGGGTTTAGGGTTCAGGTTTTAGGGTTTACGGTTTAGGGTTCAGGGTTTGAGGTTTAGGGTTTAGGGTTTAGGGTTAGGGATTAGGGGCAAGCATATCGCGCGACGGGTTCCTGTTAGGAAGCCGAGCCTCACTTAAGGCAACTTTCGCCCTAGACCCGATAATGCCTAAACCCTATAATCCCTAATCCCTGAACCCTAAACCCTACAATCCCTAAACCCGACGACACCCTGGAAACCCTAAAGTCCCACAAACCCCAAATCCCCAGCTCCTAGAGAATTGTAGAGTTCAGGGCTTGGGGTTTGGGGTTTATATCGTGTTCGTTTTTAGGGTGCGAATCTTGAGGTTGCTTTCTAGACTACAAAGATGATGTAGCTCAAGGGAAGATCCATCATCGTGCAGCAATCCAGGAGAACACATGTGGTTTACTACTAAGTGTTTGAGAGCCCAAAAAAAACAATATATTCTTCCTTATTAAGAGTCTATAGGGATTATTATTGTTTTATTCTTTTGGGGTTCATTAAGCAAATAGTAGTTCAGGGTTCGAGGTTTAGGGCCTGTCGAGCTCTGCATTCGGGGCTTGGGGTCCGCTGAACTACATGCCGATGGGTTTAGGGGGCTTACGGGCATCGGGTGGCGCCTAACTCGTGCTTTGAGCATCTGAGGGGAAATGGGAGTTTGGGTACGACTGACTACGGAAAGTCTTTGGAGGACTTCGGTGCGTTAGGGCTCTGAAGTTTCTGAAGGTTTTGGGCCCTAAACCCTGGCCCTAAACCCGAAACCATAAACCCTAAAGCTCTAAACCCTAAACCGCGCTTGAGGGGCTTTAGGGCTTTCAGGGTTTCACTTCTAAGCCGGAAGCACAAATCGATGGAAAGCCCTCAACTCGTTTGCCATTCCTAAACCCTAAACGGGTCGGAGACATACTAACAGCATTCCCTTATGGTCGGTTTATGTTTTTTACTGCACTAACCCCCCAACAAACACCCTATTCTAATTATTAAGGCCCCTATGTTACAGCCCTATTCCCTCATGGTCACTTCATATTTATACTATAATAACCCCCAACTCTCAACAGCGGCCTTGTTGGCCCTTGTCGAAGACCACTTTGCCGAGGTCCTTGATGTCCGTGGCATCAATCTGGCATTGCACCGAGGATTCAGGCGCTTTAGCTTTAGGGTTAACCCTCCGACCACTTCCTCAACCGAGTTTAGGGCTTAGGGTTTTGGTTGCTGCGTTCCTTGGACCCCAAAAAGTTAGCGGCTTTCGAAAAGACTTGGATTACAAATGCCCAACAACGATAAAACTTACTCCTCCAGCTACGAAGTTTAGAGTAGCAGCAACTTCCACGCCGTGAGCAAATCTCAAGCCTCAAGCCTCCGCAGCCCTCGTCCCTCAGTACCTGCTTGGATGGCAGACTCCTACGCAGCTCCAGTGTAAGTTGAAACTCAGAAGCCTCACGCCTCCCAAAGCCCTTCACGTCGACTCGCCCAAGAAAGGTTCAACATCTCCCAACCAGAACCCTAAAGCCTAAAACTCACATGTCTCTTCTCAGTACTTGCTGTAGGTCCTACACATCCTACGCATTCACTGCCCAGTTCACCCGAAACCCTAAAACCCACAAGTGCAAGTGCGTCCAAAGTCCAAGCGAGCCCGGAGAACGTTTCCGCGCACGAAGGCCTGACCAGGCGTGGCTTTGCAGAGTTTAAGCCCAGCCCAGCACTTGCAGCGGCTTTCGGGGTGACTAGAAGCTCGAAGACTGAGTTCGACGACCTCTTCCGAAATTGAGGCTGCGCTCTGCTAGGCTGGGACCCATTAGGGCAGTGCTTCCATGGTTCCAAAGTTTTTTTTTATTCGAGGGTCGTCCGCCAGAGGCTTCCAGAACTCCAAGCCTAAACCGGAGGTACGTACACGAGGCAAAAGCCGCTCAAGCGCGTCGGAAATCTCCGAATACAAACCCTCTGACCCCTGAAACCCTACGCCCGAGAGCCTATAGCCCCAAGCCCCAAGCCCCAAGCCCCAAGCCCCAAGCCCCAAGCCCCAAGCCCCAAGCGAAGCGCTGAACCCTGGCCCTAAACCCCAAAACAATTATCCATGTGCAAACCTTGAAGCCGAAACCCCACAAGTTCCCCGTAGGGCTGGAGGGAGTCCCCGAACTAGGGTTTAGGGTTTAGGGCTTAGGGCTTAGGGCTTAGAGCTTAGGGCTTAGGGCTTAGGGCTTAGGGCTTAGGCTTTAGAGAAACTGGGTTGCCCACTGCCCAGTTGGGCCAAGGGGCCTCAAAAAGGTGGCCCGTTTATCTGCTTAGTTCATAGGGGGAACCTATCCCATAACGAAGGAATGAATCTGTGTACTAAACCCCAAGAAGGCCCCTAAGGTAAACCCTAAGCCCTAAGCCCTAAGCCCTAAACCCTGAACCCTGAACCCTAAACCCTAAACCGCACCAAGGCCCCGAACCCCTCGGGCCAGCCTGTCCGATGTCGAACAAGGTCACCTTCATCTGCCCCGCCCTGTTGTCCATCTCGCCTCTCAGAGCTCTGTACTCCAGGAAGGTTCGGGTTTCGGGTTTGCAAGTTTAGGATATGAACTGCCTGCAGTCGCCTTCGGCGGACACAGGCGTCTCGAGGCGCCTACATGACTGCTATTTGCTTAAAAATCCCCAAAAAACAAAACAAGGTTCTTTCTGATAAGGGAAATAAATATAGGGATGGTTTTGTATATATTTTTTTTTGGGGGGGGGGGGGTCTTAAGCAAATAGTAGATGAGGCGCACACCCCTGATCCCTGGCGTCTGCGCCCTCTAACGGTTGAAACTTTTGTCGAAAGACTCCGCTAAACCATAAACCATGCTCGGTCTCTTTGCGGCTTGAGGTTTAGGGTTTAGGGTTGAAGTTACAAAGAGTCCATAGGATTCTGGATTTTAGTCCAAGGCTTAGCGTCTTAGGGCTTCGGGTCTGATTAGGTTGGCTTCCCCATCCCTCCTATATCTACAGCAAATGCTCTTGAGGGCCCCCTGCCATCCCCGGTTACCGGGTGGCCTGGAGCTTGAGCCGCGCGCGACAGGCCGGAGCATATCCCACCCCTCAACCCTAAACTGCTATTTGCTTTGGAACCCCTCCCAAAAAACGTATCCTGCAATACAGCGATGATCGTCATGTTTTGAAGGGGGGGGGGTGCTTAAGCAAGTCGAAGTATACCCAAAAACCCAAACCCAAAACACCTAGCCCGAAAGCCGAAACTGAGCACCTGGATTCCTGGCGTCGGCATCTTTGGCGCAGTACTGTTCAGGATTTGGGCTTTTGGCTTGTGTGTCCCAATAGCTTCTTTTGTGGTTCCGGACTGGATTGCAGCTGGTTTTGGGGACTTTTGTTGAATCGGAACCCTCTGAAACTTTCCTTGGCTACAACCCCCCTGGAAACCTGCTGGAGATTCTGTGGGAACCTTTGAGAATTGTACCCTTTGGTTTACCACCTCCCTCATACCCGAAGCCTTTCTAAAGTCCCAATCTTGGGGTAGTTACTAGTAGTTACATGATCCCTTAGTATGGGCCCTTAAAAGGGGACCCTTTAAAGAGGGTAAGGGACCATATTAAGGGCCCATGAAACTACCCTTACAGAGGCGCCCTAAAAACAAACCCTAACCCTCTTTGCCACCGTGCCGTGCTATCCATGCCTCCAGTTTACAGTCCAAATCTGCCTTCAAGGGCGCCTTTGTCTTGCAGCCACAAACCCTGCATCCCAAAACCCTTTTTGCGAAACTGGACAGGCTCCGGTCTTTGAGATTGGGGTTTATGTGGCTTAGGGTTTGAGGATTCGGGGTCTATAGGTTGTCGGGTTACGGAGCCTTTGGGGTTTATGGCTGCAGGCTAGCCTGCGACGTGCAAGATGCAAGCAGCAAGTGCATCGAATTTCGAATTCCGCGGGCCAGCAAAGCTGTCACTTCAGCTCACTCCAACTCAAGCCCTTCCTCACCTCGTGACTTCTATGGATTTAGGGGCTCAGCGTGTTCTAGGGTTTGTGAATTTAGGGTTTGGGTTCAAGGGCTTTAGAACCGAGGGTTTTGGTGTGCAGTGTCCACCCGATACCCCACAAACAGCACACCCTCCGCTCTTCCACGCCCAACGGTTTTAGGGTTTGGGGCTAACACAGCAGGTCATTCTCATTCTTGAACCCCCTTACTAGAACCCCGATGCACTGCGGAACATCCCAACCCCCAAAACCCTCAACGCCAAAAAGGCCGGGGAACGGAAATTCCCGTGGCACCCAGCACCGCACCGGGGAACAGCCGGCGCCAGGCGTCCTCGTGGGGGGCTATGAGGGTCTTTGAGAGTTGTCCATCTTTGGCATTGATGCGTTTAGGGATTGGGCTTACGGTCTGGGGGTGTAAGGTCTCTGGGTTTTGAAGGGTTCAAGTTTGGGGCTCATGGTTTACGATTGCAACGCAGCTCTGACCCAACCATTTTATAGGGGGACTTACAGGGGGCGTGAATGTGCAATGGGATATGACTACAGATTTAAACCTCCAAGTAGGTTCACCCGCCAAATTTCATCCGTGCGGTGCACATCACGGTAATTTGGTCACCGGCGCCCTGCTAAGAGTTGGGATCATCTCAACTACGCTGCGATGAGCCCTAAACCCTACACTGGCCCTACACCTTAAACCCTAAACTCTAAACCCCAAGCCCCAAACTGCCCTAAACCCAAGACACCCAAACTCGAATCCCCAAACCCTGAACCCTAAATAACCCTAAACCCTAAACCCAAACCCTAAACCCCAAACTTGCTTCTCCTTGCTCTCAGAGGGTTCTTCTGTCTGGCTCTGTGTGCGGGGCACGTTTGAAGTTTAGAGACCCCACCCCATGTCACTTGCCTCCCGACAACTAATTGTTCTCTCTGGGGGGCGTGGAGGGGGGGGGGGGCGGCGGGGCGTCTGGGAAAGGCTCAGGGTTGAGGATGGTTTAGGGTTTGGGGTTTAGGGCTGAGCCCTAAACACCCCTAAACCCTAAACCCTAAACCCGAAACCCTTAAACCTAAAGTCCAAACTCTAGGGTCTAGGCTTGGGGTGCTTAGGGTATGTGTAGGGCTCGGCCTCCATGGCTTCGCGGAGCGCCCCCACAGCCTCTTCTGCGGCCTCGGCCAAGAGGGTCCGAAGGCTCTAGGGTTAGAGCTTGAGGGCTCAAGGTTTAGGGCAGTTTAGGGTTTAGGGCTTGGGGTTTAGGGTTTAGGTCTTGTGGTCTGAGGGTTTAAGGCTTGATTATTACGGCTTGGGGTTTGTATCAACTTGAGTCGGTCGTTCCGGGTTAAAGGCTTCCAGAGGCAAAGACATGCGAATGACACTGGCCTTTCGACCTGTAGCCCGCAACCTTGCCAGTTCTTTGTCGGGAATCAGCAAATGTGCTAGCAAAAGGGATAGTCATGTGTTCTTTGATCATGTGTTTATCGGAGGATGCAAGGTTCGTAACTCCTGAACGCCCTGCGAAAAGCCAGCAAGTCAACTCTCACTAGGGCTTAGGGCTTGCGGTTTTGGGACCCCAAGCCCTAAACCCTAATCACTAAGCACATACCTAGGGCTCCAGGATCAAATCATCTGGGCCGCCGCAGGGTCTGCACACTCCAGGAGGAACTCGTCATGCACCACGCAGACCTGGTGCTTGTCGTGAGGGGCAGGATCGTCCCAAGCTTCTGGCTCCATTTGCACACTGAGGTCGCTTTGGGTTTAGGGTTTAGGGTTATTGGGGTTTAGGATTTAGGGGTTTAGGGTTACTAGGGTTTAGGGTTTAGGGTTTAGGGGTTTAGGGGTTTAGGGTTTAGGGTTTAGGGTTTAGGGTTTAGGGTTTAGGGTTTAGGGTTTAGGAACCCTAAACCCTTGATGATCCACAGTTTCGGGGCTCCTCACAGACGACGCAAAGGATGTGGCGCCTGTAGGCTCCCGGGACTCTGGGGCTCCAGGACAAGTACCAAAAACACCACAAAACCTAAACCCATGTGCAGTTTAGGGTTTAGGGTTTACGGTTTGTGGTTTAGGGTCACCCCAAACTCCAAGACCCAAAGCCCCAAACCCCAACCCCCTGAACCCCCAAAGCCCCTCAACCCCGCCCCCCCCCCCCAGCCCCAAACCCCAAACCCCAAACCCTAAACTCTAAACCCTAAACCCCAAACCCACAGCCCCAGCCCGGGTGCCAGCCGCACAGTCGCCGATGCTCGCTGCAGGAAAGCATGCAAGGACTCGAGGCAGGCCTGTCCCCGAGCCGAGCGATTGCAGAAGTTTAGGGTTTAGGGTTTTTAGGGTTTAGGGTTTAGGGTTTAGGGTTTGGGGTTTAGGGTTTAGGGTTTAGGGTTTTCGGTTTAGGGTTTAGGGTTTTCGGTTTGGGGTTCAGGGTGTAGGGTTTAGGGTTTAGGGTTTCAAGCGCCCAACGCTTCTTTGACTGCCGCTTGCCTGGTGGTCTTAATCAGCGGGTTTGGGGTGTGGGGTTCACAATAATCGTGATGTGTTGAACCCCAAACCGTAACCCTAAACCCTGAGACCCTAACGTGTGCTACAAAGGAGCTTACTGAGAGCCAATTGCAACCCCAAAACCCTAAAACCGGAAACCTCAAACCCCAAAACCTTGAGTGTGTAAATACGGGGTTTAGGGTCCCCAAACCCTAAACCCTAAACCCTAAACCCTTCACCCCTTAAACCCTAACACCGAACCCCTCAGAGTTGCCACCTCCGTCCCTAAGGGGTGCCCTAAACTTCCTCTTCACGACTTTTGAGCACTGAGCCACTTACTTAAACGCAAGGTCTTGAGCTTCAGGGCTTAAGAGTTCTACGGTTTAGGGTTAGGTTGAGGGGTTTTGGGTTAAGGGTAAGCCAACTAGCCAAGTACTTGGGCTTGCTGTAAAGGCGCCATCATCACCTCCGCAGCAGTTCCCTGCACGGGGAAGTTGATCGCCTGAGGTTTAGGTGTTTTAGGTCTTAAGGGAGGGGCTTCATGGGCGGCATGTAACCCAAGGTTCCCTAATACTCCCCCACTGCTTCCTAAGGCTCCCTTAAGAACCCTACAATTAGGGCTTGGCGTTTGGGGTTTTGGACTTAGGCAGTAAGACGTCGCGCCAGTCATGTGCAACAGCCGTGAACATGGAACCTTCATGCCCTGCAACTTGCAGATGTTGGAACAACTTCCAACCGAGTCCCACCCAATGCACCACAAAGAAAACACATCCGCGCGATGCTAGGGTTCTAGACTTTAGGGATTTAGGGGTGCAATATTTCGGTTTGGGAATTCAGGGTTTAGGCTTCAGCGGGCTGGAGAGCGAGACATTTATGGATCATGCTGAGTGCACCCAAACTCGCTGCTGACAATTGCAACTCTAGCAACAAGTGAAACGCCCTCACATGGAAGTCTCTGAAAACTTTTCCCTAGGACTGGACCCTTCCTTGGCCTTGGGAGTAAGTCGGAGCAATCCCTGCTTCCTAACGATGAAACCCTGGCAACCGACCTCCAACGTGGAATCTGCCTGCCAAACTTGTGCGACTCCTGCAAGGATACCTACCGCCCACTCCCAAAGATTCCCTACCACTTTTGGTCACAGAATCGTGGGGGCACCCTTGATTATGGCAAACTCATTCAAGCTCTTTATCAAGCAGCCAGTAAAGGCCTCAACAAACAACCTAATTAAAGCGCGATCAAGAGAACTCCCCCGCGCCTCACGCTGCAGACGGCCACTGGAACTGGCATCGCCTCGAGGACTAGTTTAGGGTTCATGGTTTCGTGGGTCACGGGTTAGGGCCGAGGGCTTGGGGTCCCATATAAAAGTCTAGGAATTTCGTCTTCAATTTTAGAAATTTTCAAAACTTGAAGCCCTGAACCTCAAACACCCAAAAACACGTAACACCTTCAAACCCTAGGCCCGAAACCTTAAGAACCCTGAAGGCCTCAACACAAACACCGCAATCCCAAAGCCCTAGAAGCTAAACTGGGTAAGCCTAATCGCCCGAAGCCCCACAAGAATGTCTCCGACAAATGTCACTGAGCGCTGATGAAACTTGGCCCTCCCTCACCCGGATGGCTGCGCGTTCTCAGAATGTTTCTGAGATGTTTGCACTTCTGACAATGCTCCGAGCGTTACAGAGATCTTGTCTAGTGTGGTCCAGCTAACCTTAAGGTGTGAAAGGGTTCGTGAGGTGTCGCCCGCGCACTTAGGTGTAGGGTTTAGGGTTCAGGGTTTCGGGTTTAGGGTTTAAGGATCCAGGGGCTTGAGTTCGTCACTCTGCGTACAGTAAATAAAGCCGGCTGAATGTCCTGAAGCCCCAACAAACCCAAAAAGAACTCCAAACCCAAACCACAACCCCTAAAGCCCCTAATCCCCCCAAAATCCCCAAAACCCCAAAAGCCAAAAACCCCACAACCCTATACCCCCAAAACACAAAAACCTGCAACCCTAACCCTGAACCATAAACCTGCTAAACCCCAAGACACAAAACCATAGACCGGTTTCCTCAACTTCGCTGCCAGGTCGCAATGCCCACCCTGAAGATCCTTCGACAGAAAGCAGACTTTGAACAAAGGGCTTAGGGTTTAGGGTTTAGGGTTTAGGGTTTCGGGTTTCGGGTTTAGGGCTTAGCCTTTAGGCTTTAGAAGAGGGGAACCTCACCCGCAAGGGTTTGCAACTGGGAGTTTTTGGGTTTCGCTTGCCTCTTGAGGGTTCAGGGCTTAGGGTTTAGGGTTTAGGGTTGAGGGACTACCACGGTCTGAATTTTACTCTCAGCAGCCTGAACATACAGACCAGTGCCGTGTCTGGCCTTGGTAGCCTAGTAAGTAACCATGGTATCATAGGCGTGCATGAACGAACCGACAGAAACGCAGCGCAACACACAAAACAGCACGGCTAAGGAAAACATGGTCGGCTGCGACACGGCTCAGCGCCGGCCTCAACGTGTTTCATGGCCTGCTTTGAAAGCCTCAGGAAGCTGTAAAGATCCTCCTGATCTCCTCGACGGAAGCGTGGGTCTCACTCGGTCCCTGCAACCTTGCTTCCCGCATCCCACGGCGGTGAAGATACTTTTGGCCGAGAGCGCAGAAATGTCCAATTTGTCCGGTCCGGACGGCACGCCGGCAAGGATCAGCTGCGCTGATGGATCCGTGTTGGGACACGCAAGCTCCGAGGCGGAAGCCCTTTCGCCCAGAGCAGGGATCGCACCGACTCCAGTGCACGCACAGGCTCACCAGGCGCCGGCGAGTCGCAAGTCCAAGCCATGCTTCGTAAGGAGGGAGGTTCTTAAGCAAGCAAATAGTAGCTTAGGGTTTTGGGTTAGGCGTTCCGAAGTGCACGTAGGGCTTAGGGTTCAAGTTGAGGGTGCACTCCTGATGTTCCCTTGGCGTGCTTCAGCTCACATGCTTATTCATAGTGCTGCATGATGGTGGGTTGTCTATACTGCTGTTGCTTCTTCTGTCTGTGCGGACGATTCCTATATTTTAAGTGCGTTTTGCTAGCTATGAATGTCACAGTGCTTTCTCTTGTGGATCCTTAAGTGCTATTTGGGTCCGCAGATGTATTCCGTTTAACTTTAGGTTTCTGGGCTGGATGCTAACCCAAAGGAGCAAAAAGGGAAGCCAGTTTCCTCTTTCTGGGGTTTGGGGTTTAGGGTCTAGGCTCTTACTCTGGGAGCCCTTGCTGTAGCTCTCAACCCGAGACCGGGCACAAGGTTTAGGGTTTAGGGTTTAGGGTTTAGGGTTTAGGGTTTAGGGTTTAGGGTTTAGGGGTTAGGGGTTATGCCGGTCAGGTCCCTCTTCCTGCACCTGGGCCCCAGTCAGGTGAAGTTTGGGGGTGAGACCTCGTACCTCAATACCCACGCCCCCGAAGAAATGTTGCCGGCAGGCCTTCAAAATAAGAACCGAATCCTAAACAAAGCCCGAAACCCTAAACCCCAATCCCCAGATTCTGCAAGCGACCACCACACAAAAGAGATATCCTGAATCTCGTCTCCAGAGCGGGTTCGGGGTATAGGGTTCAGAACCCAGGGTGCAGGGTTTAGGGTTTAGGGTTTCGGGTTTCGGGCTTGTGAGGCGCAATCCGACACCCTCAAAAAACCAAAGCCTAAGCCCCACACCCCAAAACCCTCAGCCGTAAGGCCACCCTAAACCCTAAACCCTAAACCCTAAACCCCTAAACCCTAAACCCTAAACCCTAAACCCTAAACCCTAAACCCTAAACCCTAAACCCTAAACCCTAAACCCTAAGCCCTGCCTTCCACTGCTCCACGAGGTGGCAGGCAGGGCGTCCCCCTTTGGTTCTCACTTCCTCGGTTCGCCGAGAGGGTTTCGGTGACGCATTGTTTGAGAGGCACAGGTTTAGTGTTTAGTGTTTAGTTTTAGTTTTAGTGTAGCATTTCTGGGTTTTCAAAATAGGGCTTCAAGGTTTGAAAGCAAACATGCGCGCAAACAAGCTATCTCTGGGAAAGCTGAACAGGAAGCATGCTCCACTTGTGATTTCAAGGCACAGGGCCTGAGAAGAAGCTTCCAGTTTTGTTCTGTGCCAGTGCTACAAGCTCCTGAATTTAAATGCAACCCTGAACCCTAAACCCTAAACCCTGGGCCGTAGCCGATGCTGGGCTGGGAATCTTCCAGACGAGGGCTTGGGTCCTATTTGAGGCTAGATGCTTGGGGTTTAGGAAACGCCCAAACTCAGATACCCTCAATGCCCTACATCGCAATAAGGCCGAAACCCCAAGTAGGGCCGCTAGTGCAAAGGCTCGAAATCGCATTCTGATGCAGCGCCCTGGACAGTCTCCCTAAACCCTAAACCCCAAACCCTAAACCCTCAACCCTAAACCCTACACCCTAAACCCTAAACTCTAAAGACAAGACCTTACACTCCGCCAGAGTCTCCGCCCCCCGCATGGCCAGATCACGCTGCCGCTGCTGCCACTCCGCGACTGCCGGATAGGCCTCAGCACCCCAAGGAGTTTAGGGTTTAGGGTTTAGGGTTTAGGGTTTAGGGTTTAGGCTTAAGGGTTTAGGGTTTAGGGTTTGGGGTTTGGGGTTTGGGGTTGGGGGCTTATTAGGGTTGGGGAGCTCTCTCGGAGCTTTCTTCGGAGGTAGACTGGGCAGGGATGTACGCAGTGGCAACCTGCATCGCGCTTCTCAGTGCCGGCTTGCTTGCCGTGGGTGGTGTCGTTTAGGGTTTAGGGTTTAGGGTTTCGGGTTTCGGGTTTAGGGTTTAGGGTTTAGGGTTTAGGGTTTAGAGTTTAGGGTGGTGTAGTATCCATGCAACCCTTCTGGAAGCTTATTATTGATCAAGCTAGTAAGAACCTTGTTTTTGAATGAACAAGTAGTGACTACACTCAAATATGGGGAACAGCAATAGTAACAACAAGAGCAACACCGACAAGGGTAACAACACAATAAAAAAACACAACAGCAATAGCGAGAGTATATAAAGTGCCAATGCAAACAACACTGACAATAAACAACACACACTGAAAGATGAAAAACAACCAGAAACAATACAGCATACCAAACACACAAAAGGAAAAAACGATTGACAATAGCAATCAATGGCAATTACAGCAATTGCACAAAACAATCCTACTGATTGGTGAATCACACCATTCATGAACATGATAATAACAAACACCTGGCTCTGTGAAATTGCCTAAGTCGAAGGTATGGGGGCATCTGAAAGTTTAGGCTATGAGTTCCGTCCACCTACTTGATGGGTTAGGACTTAGGGTATTTAGGGCTTAGGTTTTGCGGTTTTGGGGTTTGGGGTTCCAGCTTATACGCAGGGATATAAGTGCTAGTAAGGGGGCCCTATAGTGGCATACCTATAGTTCTCCTACTTACCAACTCACCTGCCAGCTGTCGTTGAGCCGAGCACCAAGCCCTATATAAATTCTGCACCCGCAACTGCCCGTATCCCTAAACCCTAAACCGAACCCTAAACCCTGAACCCTAAACCCTAAACCCCAAACCCTAAACCCTAAACCCTAAACCCCGAATGAACCCCAAGCCCGACACCCGCATGGGCTCCGGCCGCCAGGAAGCCCTGACGTGCTCTGCAGGCTTCCGCGTAGCTGAGCCTTGGGTTTGGGGGCTCCGGGGGTTTAGGGTTTTGGGTTTCGGGGCTTTAGGGTTTAGGGTTTCGGGGTTTAGGGGCTTTAGGGGTTTAGGGTTTCGGGGTTTAGGAGTTATGGTGGCGCTCAGATTCGGAAGCAAGGGTTGAAGCATGAGGGGCTTCTCAATGTCAGGATGTCCGGTGGGAGTCGTAGTTGCCAGAACCAGGGTTTCGAGTTTGTTTGAGGTGGCAAGGAGGGATCAAAATCATGGAGCCCTAAACCCCAAAACCCAAACCCTCAACCCTAAGCCCTAAACCCTAAACCCTGGGTGTAAGGGTTTAGGGTTTAAAGCCTTTAGGGTTTTAGGGTGCCACTTGCTACTCTGCCGAGGCCGAGGAGAGCTCAGATCCCAAGCCCTAAGCCCAAGCAAATCAAACAATGAGGCGCGGGCCCCCTAAGAATGACTTCTGGCCCTGGCCTCAACCCTATAGGCCCCCTAAACCCTAAACCCTAAATTAAACCCTAAACCCTAAACCCTGAAACCCTGAGACCCCAAAAACCCTAAGCCCTAAGCCCTAAGCCCTAAGCCCTAAGCCCTAAACCCTAAACCCTAAACCCTAAACCCTAAACCCTAAACCCTACAGACCAACAACAAGGGCCAAGGGGACTCGATCCCGTAGCTGTTTTCCGCGCTCTTCTGGAGGCCCTCCTGGGCTTCACGGAGCTTGGCTTTCGGTTTCGTCAGGATTTAGGGTTTAGGGTTTAGGGATTAGGGTTTAGGGTTTAGGGTTTAGGGTTTGGGGTTTAGGGTTAGGGCTTAGGGTTTAGGGTTGAGGGTTTAGGGTTTAGGGTTTAGGCTTTAGGGTTTAGGGGCTCTAGGGCTTAGGGTGTAGGGTCCCCTCGCTGTGGGTGCAGGGCTTAGGTTTAGGGAGGAGATCTGTTCGGAGGTGTCCCGAATTACGCCCTCTGGATCAACATTGAAGGATTTTGGCGTCTTGGGTTTTGGGATGCGGACTTCAGCCGGGCCACCGCCGACTGGCCATAGACGAGGCCAAAGTTCACGGCCTCCCATCTCGAAAAAGTTGCCGACAGGTTTAGGGTTTGGGGTTGCTTCCCGGTTTCTACTTGGAGGTTCTTGGGTTCTTATGACCTTGCACGTGCCCCGGCCTTAGTCCTCAAATACGGCTATCAACGGGATATTCTAAGTGGGTCACGTACACGTGTAGGGTTCAGGACCTGTAGGGCCTGATTCATAGGGTTCAGGGTCATAGGTAGGTAGATATCGGTAGATAGGCCGACCACGATCTGTGTGTGACCGGATCTGTCACTCCCGAACACAAAGTCAGACACTAGCCTTAGCTGCCTCTAGGCCTCTAGTCCTCAAAATGGTCGCACCCATCACACGACCTGCGCATGGAGCAATCCATTTCAGAAGCACTGTACAAGTATGTGAAAAACTTGTGCATGTGCTGATAGGACCCTGCACCCAATTAACCTGAGCTGAGCACCATTCCGAAACGCTGGCGGAGGGGGTATGTAAGGCTTAAATCTGCACACCCACGCCCTCCACCGACTCTCCTACCTTGCGGCAACGACCCTGAAACCCAGCCCGGTGCGAATAAGCCGCACAGAATCCTACGTCTTGAGCCCAGAGGCCACTTATCATTGCACACCGTACGGCGAAACCATCACGAAAAAAACTCCTGTACTTTCAGGGCCACACCCCTCGACTCGGCCTTGGCGAACTGACGCTGTTGCGAGGAGACCTCCGTAGGCGGCTGGCTTCGGGTTGTATAGAGCTATAGGGTTTACGGCACTGCCAACAATGATGTTGGGGACCTGAGTGATTGGAAGAGGATTTTGGGGGTTATTATAGTGTAAGTACAAAGGGACCATAAGGGAATATTGTTAGTAATTAATCCGACCCCATAGTAGGCTTTTGCACGAAAGGCTGTGGAACTCAGCTTCCTCCGGCAAAAGCAGTCCTGCCCCCATCAAACCACCGGTGCCTTTGAAGCAAGCCTGCAACAGCACTTCCAACAATGCTCCAGCACAGCACTGCGTCACTGCATGTCGCAGCTACAAAAAAAATCCCGCAGTGGCTGTCATGACATCTCAGCACATATCCAGCAAGCAACCGCAACGGCCACGCTGTAAGCTGGTGCACGTATGCTGGTCGCATCCATGGCCGTCGGTCCATGCTGGGCTCTGCAAGTGGAGGACATTGAAACGCCGTGCCGCATGCCCTGTGGGCAGCGTGGCAACAGGTGCCTCTTTTTGGGGATAAGCGAGGGAAGTTTTGCGCCCATGCCTTCAGGGACCTCAAAACACAGGATGCGGCGCTTGTGCGGGCGTCGGATGATGGACTGCATATATTTTGTCGGTTGATTGCGGCAAAGCTTAACACTGCATCAGCGTGGGTGAGGCTGAACCCCGAGTTCGAAGTTGTGATCCCAACACTATAATTAGGCGCTAAACCGTAAACCCTAAAAGTCTGCAGATTAGGAACTGGGTCTGGGATCTCCGAAATTGGGGAATATCTTGGGGTCCAGGCTATAAGGGGATCTTACTATTTGGGGGGGCTATATTGGGGTCACCTATTTTCGGAACACCGCATTTGGCTTTAGGGTTTAAGGGATAAGGTTTAAGGTTCAAGGTTCAAGCTTCAGTTAGGGCTTAGGTTTAGGGTTTAGGGCTTAGGGCTTAGGGCTTAGGGCTTAGGGTTTAGGGTTTAGGGTTTAGGGCTTAGGGTTTAGGGTTTAGGGTTTAGTTCAGGCTGGAGACGTCAGCGACGATCAAATGTCCAATGCTGAGCTGCCAAGTAAAGTAGCTAAGCTTTCATAAAACAGCCTTTGCCAGCCTCAACCCCACAGCCCTCAATAAGAACCCGAAACCCTAAACCCTAAACCCTGAACCCCCCAAACCCTAAACCCTAAACCCCAAGCCCTAAACCCTAAACCCTCCAAAAACCTTCAGCTGCCACTCTCTTCCAGACTCGCTTTGAAGCAAGCGCCGGAAGCCTGAACAGGCCCTTCCCCATAAAAGCCTACCCTTTTTGGAGGTTAAGGGTTTGGGGATTAGGGTTGAGGGAAGAAGCCAGGAAGCCCAGAAACCAGAATAGGCTTTGATGCAGAGCCTTGCGACTCGAGCCTATAGCCCTACACCCTAAACTCTAAGCCCTAAACATTTAGTCAGGGGCCCGGGTTTAGCGGTTTAGGGGTTTAGGAGTGTAGGGGTTTAGGGTTTAGGGCTGGTTACCCTTAATCCTAAACACTAAGTCAGAGGCCCAATAGATCTCACTGCTGAGGGCGGCAACTTTGGAGGGGAGGGCGGGGTATCAACTCTCCACAGCTCGATGTGGTCATTTCTCTAAGTTAGGGCCCGTTTTTAGTCACCCGAACTACGAGGGAAGGCCTTACGCATGTAGCCGTTTAGGTGGTGCACCAGGTTTGCGGCGTTGCGGGGTTTGGGGCCTAAGGCCCAAACACCAAAGCCCTAAACCCTCAACACCTAAACCCTAAACCTTGAACCCTAAACCCTAAACCCTCAACCCCACACCCTCAACCCCACACCCTCAACCCTACACCCTCAACCCTAAACCCTAAACCCGAGTTCAGGGCACGAGGGCCCCTCAGGAGCCGCCTCTGCTGGCGCCACCCCACTGAGGAGCGCGGCGGTGGTCGCATGGAGGTCCTGCAGAGCTTTTTTCGGGGACGCTAGGGTTTAGGGTTTAGGGTTTAGGGTTCAGGGTTCAGGGTTCAGGGTTTAGGGTTCATTGGTTTTCGGGCTCTTTGGGGGCTTCTGACCGGTAGGGGCCTGCCGGAGCCATTTGGGCTTTCTTGGGCTTCTGGGATTTTGCAGGGTCCTCCTCTGGGGCCTGTGGCTGTTTTTTGGGTCGTCGTTTTTTTGTGGGCGGACTCTTGGGGGCTGGGGTTTTTTGGTCAACAGGCCTCCTGGTCCGGGGCAAACTAATTTTCCGCCGCGAGGCCAAACAATTCTTCTTAAGTGTCTCCTGAGTGTCGCGCCTTTTTTTCGGGAGGACGAGGGGGCTTAAATAGTTGCGTTCCGTGGTTTTGAAAAAGTCTTCTGAGTTTGGCTTTAGGCTTTTGGCTTTTGGCTTTAGGGTTTAGGGTTTAGGGTTTAGGGTTTAGGGTTTAGGGTTTAGGGTTTAGGGTTTAGGGTTTAGGGTTTAGGGTTTAGGGTTTAGGGTTTAGGGTTTAGGGTTTAGGGTTTAGGGTTTAGGGTTCATCTTTCTCGCGAGGTCGAGGGCTTAAATTGCGGCAGATGTTCTTGCCAGACCGGAGTTGTCGTGCGCTTTTGGGCAGCTGGGCTTCTGGCCGGGGGCCGGATCAATTTTCCACAGCGTGCCCTAAACCCTATAAACCCTAAACCCTAAACCCGAAACCCTAAACCCTAAACCCTAAACCCCTGAGTTTGGTGTGCGTTTTTTCTCGCGTGTTGTACAATAAACGAAAAATCAAACTGACTGAGAGTCTGCAAGGATATCACAATCTTGGATCTTCGAGAAGGGTCTGAAATAAAAGGGTTTGTCTTGAGACCCGACCTCTGTTTCCAAGCTTAGTGGAGCCGCCCCAGAAGTCAAAATGAATAAGCGAAAGGAGAAAAGGGAACACTTGTACATAAGGAGTATATAATGAGTGAATGAATATAGGATGTATGAATTGCCCCTTTTGCGCAGCATTTTGGGGTGTAAAATAGCTTCAATCGAATACTCTTCATAATGGCACCTTTTGTCAGGAGAGAACTCTAGGGTTCCGCTTGTGAGCGAGTTTCATGGGCGTATGGGGGGGGTTGAGCTGGGTATCCTTTAGAGGAGTTCAGACTCAAGGTACCCCAAATCACGGCGCATTGCTACGTGAGATTCAGAACGGCCCTTTCAAAAGGCAAATGCGCCTACTGCCGGGCATCCCCCACGACAATTCCCAAACCTTCAACCTAGCAGAGTTGTTTGGGGCTTGCAGATTAGGGTTTAGGGTTTAGGGCTTAGGGCTTAGGGCTTAGGGCTTAGGGCTTAGGGTTTAGGGTTTAGGGTTTAGGGTTTAGGGTTTAGGGTTTAGGGTTTAGGATAAGGCTTCTCGAGCTAAATCTGCCCTCTATGTCTTCAGGGCATATAAACGAAAAACCCTAAAGAGGCGGAACGTGTTGAAGCTTACGGGTTCTTCTCTTAATGGGAGCTACCTTGTATCCCCTGCATACAACCCTTGAAAGGAGCATCTCGGGTGCAGTACCTTAATCCCCGAAACCCTAAACCCTAAACCGTCAACCCTAACCCCTAAACCCTAAACCCTAAACCCTAAACCCCAAACCCTAAACCCTAAAAAAAAACCTAAACCCGGCCTCGCCAGCTGCAAAGATGCCCTGCATCCTCGGCTGGAAGACATCTGGATATCTCGGAGACACCCCCCAAAACAACAGTCGAATCCTTATTCTTGCCCTAAACCCTCGACCTCTAAACCCTAAACCCTAAACCCTAAACCCTGAACCCTGAACCCTGAACCCTGAACCCACCCCAATGAACCCACACCTTACTTTGTTCGGACTTCCTTCGAGTCCTACCTTGGGTTATCTGCCCGAATACGAGGCTTCGGAAGCCTGAGGGGGGTCCTAGAAAACGTTGTAGGGTTCAGGGGTTTAAGGGTTTTTGGGGTTAGGGTTTAGGCTTTAGGGTTTAGGGCTTTAAGGATTATATAAGGGGTTTAGGGCATAAGGTTTAAGGGTGGCCAAGCCCGAAACCCTGTGCACCGGAACCCTCGAATCCATGCCCGGAGGTCTGCTCGTCCTCAGCAAGCTCGGCCAAAACCCGCAGCTCGATCTGCGAGAAGTCACCCTGCACCAGCCAGTCCTGGATTGCAGGTTGTTTCAAATGTTAAGGTTCCCTAAACCCTAAACCCGCAACCCTAAACCCTAAACCCTAAGCCCTAAGCCCTAAACCCTAAACCCTAAACCCTACACCTTAGGGTCGAAGGTTTGGCTTCTGTCGATGAACGAAGCGGGGCTTCACGGCTTTAGGCTGGAGGACGGTGAACGAAGTGCGGGGTCCAGCGCAATCTCAAGGTTGGGTTGGGCAGGGAAATTGAGGGTCCCTTTTAGGGGTTCATGGTTGAGAAATAGGGTTTAAGGTTTAGGATTTAGGGTGTAGGGTGTAGGGTTGAGACTTTAGTGTTTAGGGTTTCGGGTGTAGGGTGGAAGGGTGTAGGGTTTAGGGTTTGGGGTTTAGAAAGGGTTTAGGATTTAGGTTTTTTTTGTTTGGGGGGGGGGGGGTATGCAGTAGGTTCTACGAGTCAGGGCTTAAGGCTGAGGGTGCCGTCTACAACCCGCAACCTTTTCGAGGGAGGCGCCCAACCAGGACGCAAGCCGGCACGGAAGAGGCCTCGAAACTCCTGCGCGCAAGTCGCATCGACAGGTTCAGGGAATGCGGTTTGGGGTGCAGCCTAGAGCCTGCCGCCCCCCTCCCTCCCCCCCAATAAACGACGAAGAGCGCTCTCCAGACGTCTGCGTCAAGTTGGCTATTCCGACTCGGGATCGAAAGCAGCCGTAAAGCAAAATTTGTCCAACCTCCCAAACCACTCCGGACCAGAAACTCTAAACCCCAAACCCACGGATAGTTTGGACAAAACCCTACGCCCCCAGCCCACCACCCCCCCCCCCCTGCAGGTGCCGGAGCACGCGCCTCCATGCGCGGGCTGCTCTGGAGGTTTGGGTTCGCGCAGGTCATTCGGCCGGTCACTGCGCCGGCCAGCCTGCATACGGGCTTAGGGGCCCCACAGGGTCCGGAACTTAGGGCTGTGTCCTGAACCCCACATAGCGCCAGGATGTAAGATCCTCCCAAGGGCTCTAGGCCTTGTAGGGCTCCCGAACCTGCTCTCTAAACCGTTTAGGAATAAAGGTACAGGGCTTGGGGTTTACGGGTTTTGGGGTCTATCCGCCCTAAGCCTCCTAAGTCCTACTTGAACCCTAAACCTTGGATCCTCTTTGGCAAACTCGCCGTTCATCTGCACCCCTCCTCTTTTTCATCATACGGCCTAGAGTTTCGGGTTTTGGGCTTCGGATCATAGGAATCCGGCACCGGCAACTTCCAGGTCCTATAGTCAAGTCCATCCAAGGTGCTGGTAAGACGGGAAGAGGCGTCCCCCTCCGCATCTCGCCGCAGAGGCATAGGACTCATAGTGCGACAGAGCCTCGGCAATTTTTGGGGCTAAGGGCTTCCAGCCCTAAGAACAACGTCAACCCGAAACCCCAAGCCCTAAACCTTTTAATAAACCCTAACCCCTAACCCTGAACCGAAACTCGACGTGTGTTGAACTGATGCTGCTTAGCCCTTCCATATTTACCCCAAGGCTACATTGCTGTAGGCAGTGATGGTGAAGCCCTAAACCCGAAAACCTAAACTTGAGAGGACACTTAGGTAATCTACCAAAAAAGCAGGCTCGGGCAGGGCTTCCCAAGTGGAAACCCAGGCTGGAAGCCCCGACAGAGTCTAGAGAGCAACATAACGTTTTTGGGCTTGGGTTTGCTTGGATTAAAGAAACACCTTCACGGCTGAATGAGTTCTACTTGGAGGCTCTGGGCACTTGTATCAAAACTCTAACCGTCCCTAAGTCCCTTGTCACCGATCTACTTGAGATATGAAGTAGCCTTGCCAATGGACCCTAAACCCTACACCCTAAACCCTAAACCACCCCTGAGCCTTCAAGTACGAAAAACTCTCTTAGCTGCCACCAGAGGTGCATGGGACAGCTCACGAAAGCGCACAACGTCCTCCTGAGCTAAACCCTAAGCCCTAAGCCCTAAGCCCTTAACCCTTAACCCTAAACCCTAAACCCTAAACCCAAAACCCTAAACCCTAAACCCTGGCCCTAAACCCTAAACGGTGGGCTTCCATGGGAGCAATGAACAAGGCGTCGGGGCACAGGCTTGCACGCCCCAAGAAAGGCACAGCTACAGGGCAGGGACCCTTGTCCCCCCAAAATAGTGGGGCTCCCTTGTCATAAGGACCCAGTTAAGGTACCAAACCCTAAACCCTAAACCCCAACCCCAAACCCTAAACCCTAAACCCTAAACCCTAAACCCTAAACCCTAAACCCTAAACCCTAAACGCCCGTAATCTCGGACACCTCACATGACCCCATGCCAAGATACATCAAGAGAGGATGTCGGTGCGAATGCCACTGGTGGCTGTGCCCTACTTCAACAGGCCAAGCCCTTCGTGAAGCCCTAAGCCCTAAGCCCTGAGCCCTAAGCCCTAAGCCCTAAGCCCTGAGCCTAAGCCCTAGACCCTAAAGCAGGCCAATCCCCCTTACACCTTGGCTTAGGGTTAGGGCTTGGGGCTTGGGGCTTGGGGCTTGGGGCTTAGGGCTTAGGGCTTAGGGCTTGGGGCTTGGGGCTTAGGGCTTAGGTTTTAGGGTTTAGGGTTTAGGGTTTCGCGGAAGAACAAACATCAGTATGACACTCGACGCCTCCAAACCCTTTGATCTCCAGGTCCTTAAATCCTAAGCCGCAACACAACTCGAATGAAACCCTAAACATGCATGATCCTCAACGAAGCCCTGTGAACGGCCAATACTGGCCCTAGCGCAGAGGCCGAAAAACAGTGCTGCCATTTTAAGAATCCGAAAAGACAAGCCCTCAGCCCGAAGGCCCGAACCGTGAGCCCTACACCCAAAACACTAAACCCTAAACCCTTAACCCTGAAACCCTCAACGCGTAACCCTAAAACCCCTAAACAATCAAACCCTCAACCCTAAAACCCCTCAACCCCTCAACCCCACAACCCCAAACCCTAAACCCGAAACCCTAAACCCCTACACCACAAACCCTAAGCCAGGGCTCCGCCCATGGTAGGTTCGAGCGCCTGAGCGATGCGGAGTCCGTCCGCAGGGCGCCGCCTGCGGAGGTGGACTTGGGGTTTGTGAGCTCAGCGTCTAGGGTTTTTGAGCCTAGGGCTTCGGATTTTTCAGCTTCGGGCTGAGGGTTTAGGGGTTAGGGTTCCGGGTGTATTTGGCCTAGGGTTGAGGAGGTGTGGGGCTCATAGGGGTTTAGGTGTTGGGATCTAGGTCGTATGGGGTGTGTTTCGGGTTCAGGGTATTGAGGGCTTTGTTCTGTGCTCGACTTACGCTTACATGTGCGTGAGGGCCAGAGGTCATGATGGCAGAACCCAGACCGGAGATTGCCGAGAGCTTCTCGTGCAGACGGGACAACGACATGCGGGAGAACGCCACCTTCGACCCCCTGACCTGCCACTGTCCGCCCCAGAACCATGACTTGGGTGACGTTGGGTGCACTTTGAGTGTACCCCAAGCCATGTATGCCCATCTTCGGGTCCCCATTCACGGCTGTAGGACTCCAGCGCCGCTCCCCGTCGTCAAAGAAGGCGTTGTTCTCGCGTGCGCTGACGCGCCGGATGTCCCGATGGCGTTGCAGTTCGGCGCAAATGCCAGGCAACCAGCGATACCGCCAACTGTACATGGTCAAGCGGCTTTGGGTGTTACAGGGGCTTTAGGCTGGATATTATATGGGTCCCCAAGCCCACAAAGCACGCCCTCAAGCCGAAGGCCTAAACCGCTAACCCCACGAACCCTCAACCCCGCATCCTAAACCACACAACACCTGAAACCCTCAACTCTCCACCTGGCAAAACCCAAAACCCTAAGCGCCACAAGCCCTAAAGCCCTCTACACCCCCCCCTAGGCCCCAAAACCCTCACTCCCAAGCCCAAGACCCACAAAACCCGAGGCCCGAAACCTTAAACCCTCGACCCTGAAACCCTAAGCCCCTCAACTCCGATTTTAGGGTTCTTGAGGGAGGGAGGTTCAAGTGGGGTAGGATTCAGGGTTTTGGGTTTAGGGATTAGGGTTCAAGGGTTTAGGGTTTAGGGTTTAGGGTAACCCAAGGTTCCCTTATCCTCCCCACTACTCCCTAAGGCTCCCTAAGCTTCCCTATGGTTCTCTAGGTACCTGCCCCCAAGAATCCTCCTCCCTCAAAAACCCTGCCTAAACCCTAAACCTGAACCCTAAACTCTGAAGCAACCCAAGCCTGGGGTGCATGGCCACATCGAGCGCTCCTCTGGGCCTTGGGATTTCGGGTGTCAGGCTTAGGGTTTATGGGTTAAATTTCGGGTTTAGGGTTTAGGGCTTGAGGGCTGTCAGGTTTTGCAGGTTTTAGGGCTTATGGGTTGAAGGGCCTAGGGTTTCAAAGACTAAATGTTTAGGGGTTCAGGGTTTAGGGTCGCCTGGCGTGCGTCAATGGCATAAACTAGCCGAGCCTTCGTTGTCCGCCTGCTGGACATTTGCGAGGACTCTAGAATCTAAAACATGTTACAAGTGGAGCCGCATGAAGCCACGACCGCAAAAACACAACGGACGTCGCATGAAGAATGACCCCGGTCAAGGACAATGCACTGAGTGCACTCTCGCTGTCGGCAGCCTCGAAAACGCACACTCTGGCGAAAGGGTGGTGTGAGCAGGGAATAGGAATCAAGGCATAGTGAACGACCAGGTCTCTCTTCTGTCTCCTTCATCCTCCCAGCATATGATCTGAACATCATGTTTTGAGGTTTAGGCGGCTTAGGGGTTCTAGGGCTGTAAGGGCCTAGGGCTTTTGGGGCTTTTAGGGCTTTTAGGGCTTTTTGAGCTTTTTGAGCTTTTTGGGCTGGTGGGTTTCGGGCTTTTTGGGACTTAGGGCTTCGGGGTTTTCGGGTTTCGGGCGGCTTTTAGGGTTTGGGGGGAAAGGCTCAGCCGCGGAACTTAGCTGCAGCGCCAGCAGGCCAGCGATCTGGGAGTTGCCTGTACTTGAGTGCGGGGTTTAGGGGTTTAGGGGGGTTTAGGGGGGTTTAGGGGAGTTTAGGGGGGTTTAGGGGTTTAGGGGCTTAGGGGTTTAGGGGTTTAGGGGTTGAGGGGTTAAAGGGTTAGGGGTTTAGGGGTTCAAGGTTTAGGGTTTGAGGGGAGGGTGTCTAGAGTGTCTATGGCTTCAGGGGCTTGGGGGGAATCCAGGAAATTTGCTCGAACACTGTACCCTAAAGCGACCCCCCCCAAACCCTAAAAGAAACCCCAAAAGACCTGAAAAACCTCAAAGCCCTGAACCAAAAAGACCCGAAACCCTGCAATCAAGGGGTTCAGACTCGTACCCCAAAGGTTGTACCCCTAAAGGATTCCCTGCATCTACTCCTAGTATGGCCCGTATATATCCCCTTAGAGGATCTCAAAAAAGGGTCCCCAGACCCAAGTGTACGACCTTAGGGGTCCAAGGAAAAATCCCATGATACAAACCTAAAGCCAGAACCTTAAACCCTAAACCCTAAACCCCAAACCCTAAACCCTAAACCCTTCTTGCGACCGAGTGACTGCGGAGGTTCAGGCGCAGTGCAGACACCTAAGGGTGGGCAGAAACGTTTGGAGCGACCGGAGGCAGATAACCCTAAACCCTAAACCCTAAACCCTGAACCCTAAACCCTAAACCCTAAACCCTAAACCCTAAACCCCTGAATTCCGAAAGCCCTAAACAAGGGGCCCTTCAGGGATGAGGGCTTCAGGTTTAGGGGCTTAAGGCTTGGGACTTTGGGTTTGGGGTATTGGGTTTTGGGTGTTACCAACCCTAAACCCTAAACCCTAAACCCCTGAATTCCGAAAGCCCTAAACAAGGGGCCCTTCAGGGATGAGGGCTTCAGGTTTAGGGGCTTAAGGCTTGGGACTTCGGGTTTGGGGTATTGGGTTTTGGGTGTTACCAACCCTAAACCCTAAACCCTAAACCCGTAGCTTAGATCCGCCTTAGAGCTGGCCTACATAGTTTCCACGGTTAAGGGCTCACGGGCTCACTGATGGGCTTAGGCTTTTAGGGATTACAAGTTGAGGGTATCGGGCATGTTTATGGGTCTTAGGGTTCATAAGAGGTTTATGGTTTGCAGGGTTTAGTGTTGGGGTTTGGGGGTTTAGTGCCCTTCTCTCACACGTGAATTCCTGATTGCCAGTCGTTCATTTTGACCGAAACCCAACCCCAAACCCCACACCACGCTTTGATCCGAGAAATTGCCGACCCTGAGGCGCCCCGTCTAGGTTCCCCAATCCCTACAAACCCTAAACCCTGTAAACCCAGAATCAGTGGCAACACTTCTTTCGCTCCCTGATGCCTTGTGTTCATGGAACTACCCCGACCTTTGGCGTCACTCATGGCCCTTTTTTGAAAATTACCCTGGGTCCTCGGGCCTTTTGGTCCATCTTCCAAGAGATGTACTTCCAATTTATCATGTTGGCTTGTTGGGAGGCTTGAGTCCAGGCCATTGAGCCTCGAACTTAGGGTTCAAACGAAAAAGCAAAACCCTAAACTCCCGACCCTAAGTCTAACGCAGAGGCCGCCTTGCAAACGCTTCCGGTGCCGGAATGCTAGCTCTGAGGCCCATAATAACCTGATAGAGCTTTGGGGTGTAGGGCTCAGTTAGGGTTAGGAACCCTAAACCCTAAACCCTAAACCCTCAATCCTAAACCTTAAACCTTGAACCCTAAACCCTGTTTGTGCAGCATAGGGCGATTGCCTGCATGAGTCTACCTCCAGTGCAAAGAAGCGGCGCCGCAAGCGTCCAGCAGCTGCTTTCGCACGTCTGCCTCGGTTTAGGGTTTAGGGTTTAGGGTTTAGGGTCTAGGGTTCAGGGTTCAGGGTTTAGGGTTTAGGGTTTGGGGTTTGGGGTTTGGGGTTTGGGGTTTGGGGTTTGGGGTTTGGGGTTTGGGGTTTGGGGTTTGGGGTTTGGGGTTTGGGGCCTCGGTGTGGGCGATCTGGGTGCGCCATTGGACGCACAGCTTCTCCATGCCAACCTGGGCAGCGTGTTGTTCACCGATGCCAAGAACTCCTACGGGGGCTTATACTTCCTAGACCCGGGAGTAACCTGGGGACAAAAGGGTACCCTCTCTGGTTTTAAGGCATTATAAGGGAACCCTAACTCTAAAAAAAGGAAGAAGATGACCGAAGGCGTTTGGTACACTCACAAGAAGAATGCGCTACAGTGGAGTGTTATACAACTTGTCAAGAATACGTTGCAGGTACCATCTCCAGGCGTTGCTTGTGCCACTCAGAAAAGAAAGTCTCAGCAACATTGCACGAGGGCAGGATCGCGCCTACGTGGTTCGACAGCGTGAATCAGCAGTCCAAACAATGTTGGGGACAACGGGCGCTGCATCCGAAGAATTGCATTTGATGAGCATGCTCAAGAGCATCTCTGCCTTTGCGAAAACTGTTACGGTCAGTGTTGAAGTGCAGCCACAAAGCATTGTTGTCACCCGGTCTTCCGGGCAAGAGGGCATGGATCTGCTCTGCATTTTATTGAGTCCATCGGTCCAGGGGCGTGTGCATACTGATGCTCCTCATCTTGGGGGCATTTTCGTGAATCAAAAAACTACCCAGCCGGGCGAAATCATCAAGGGCCCAGGGTACTTCACTGTTCTTGGAACATTGTTCAACAGCAAGTCTTATGGTCCCTTTTTCGTTCCAGCCACTAAAGTTACAGCTCATGCATTCCAGAACGGTCTGGTTTAGGTTTTAGGGTTGAAGGCCACACCCAGCCCCCCCTCCCCCCAAACTGCTCCCCAAGGCCCAGCGGCGTAATCAAAAGGTATGCCAGTGGCCTGGTTTGCGGTGTAGGGTTTGGGTTGAGGGTTTAGGGTTTGGTGTTTAGGGGTTCAGGGTGTAGGGCCCTGGCCGCGGGATTCCTCGAGTCTGCTGCACAATGAAAACTGAGCAGAACACAGGACTACACGGTAGTAGCACTAGTATTGAGAACCAGGTGCAAGGACTTGTTTGTTCTCTGGCATTTCCGCATTTTTTGTCCCCGATGCTCCCTACATAATCTAAACTACCCAAACTATCGCTCACATCAAAGAGGCCACTATGCTGCGTCTGCTTGACCGCGGACCCAACCCTAAAGCTACAACGACAAAACCCTTTGCACCTAAACCCTTTACACCCCTGAAGCCCTAAAGCTTCGAAGACTTAAAGCCCTGACAAAAGCCCCAAACCCTTACACCCCTGAACCCCTAAAACTGCAAACCCTTGGTGCCCCGGGGGTGCCGGGCCCTTAAACCCCTGAACCCCTGAAGCTTTAAACCCTGAAGCCTCACACCCAAGACCCCAAAACCCTTGAACCTCTACCAGTTTGAGCCCGTAAGCCTCTGAAACCCCTTTAAGCCCTGGACCCCTGAACCCCTGAACCTCTGAACCTCTGGACCCCTGAACCTCTGAGCCCCCCTAAACCCTGAAACTCCTACACCGACCCCTAGACCGCAAAACCCCTTGAGCCCTTGGCCCCTGGTTCCCCTAACCCCAACCCCTAAACCCCTAACCCCTGAACCCCTACGCCCCTATACCCACCCAAAAACTCCTAACCCCCTAAACCCTTCAACGCTTGAACCTCAGAACCCCAGAACCCCTAAACCCCTAAACCCCTAAACCCCTACACCCCGAAACCCCTAAACCCCTAAACCCCT